ACATTTATTAGAATAATAAACACAGCAAAATTTTCTTTAACTTTGATTGATAGTATCTCAATAACCACCTGACCAATTCGATAAATTTTTTTTAAATTCTGCATACCTGTAGAATTCAAATAAAAAAATTTGTCGAATTTGATTAAGTGGTCATTAAGATACCTTCTATTAAAGATTTTAAAAAAAGTGATTTACATAGGTGTGGAAATATTATTTGCCTATATTTAAATAATTTTATATATAACAAATTAAAATAAAAATAAATATATCTAAAATAATTCAAAATTATCGAAACTGTTAAAATTAATTTGAAATATATTAGAAAAAATTTTATTAAATAAATAAGTATATAAATAATAAAATAAACATAAAAAAAAATAGATAAAAAAAATAAAATAAAAACAAAAAAAGCAAAATAAATATATATTAAATAAAAAATAAAATAAATATATAAAAATTAATATAAAAAACAAGTTTACTAAAATGCACCTATGGTGTTCAATACTATAGATCTCTATTTTTCAAAAATGTACTAAGTAAACAGGATTGGGCACTTTAAGTAAACATATTCAAACCTCTAAAAACCTTATGAAAACTAAAATTGGGACTTTATATCTAATATATATAATAATATATAAAAAAATTTTATAAAAATACACCCTAACCTTAAATTTTATTAAAAACAATTATATATGATGCTAAACACTATAGGTGCATTTTATAATAATTGTAAAAAAAAAATAAAAAAAAAATATAAATGAAATAAAAAAAAAATAAAAATAAAATAAAAAAAATAATTAAACAAGAATATAAAATATAAAAAAATTAAAGTTTTTATAATTAATTAAGATAATTAGTATCTTCAAAAGAAGAATTTTGTTGCAGGATATTTGGAGTTAAAGTGGGTTTAGTCAAATTAACATGGATAGAAGTAGAATATTGTGAATCTTCATGATGTAAGTTAGATGTAAATGAATATATAAGTAAATGAATAGGTGAATATATGGGAGTAGCTTAAACAAAAATAGTGGTATAAGTAGCTCTTTTTTACCTATTTTGATAAGATGAGATTTGGATAAGCTTAATGGTGGTTGTGTCCACTTATACTTTCTATTAGGCTTGGAAGAAGCTAAGACAATTTCTACATAGTCTTCTTCATCTAATGAATCTTCACCTTCAACTGAAGAAATAAAAGCAGTATTGAGAATTTTATTTTTATAAAATATAATTAAATTAGTTCAAATTATTTTACAAAAATTTAAATTAAATAAATATAATTAATTATATATTTACTTACAATATTTCTATCAAGTCTTTTTTTTGTAACTTTATTGTCTGTATCTAGCTTTTCAAAATTTAAATTCTTTCACATATAACTATTCATGCAACTTACCTAATCAACTACATTCTAATTCCTTCTCTTGCCTCCAGCTGGGCTCGCTAAACTTAAATTTAATATCTGGTTCACTTTGTGGATCCAGTTCAGTATTTCTACTAATCATATATTAACTATTCAAATCTAGGTGAGCTTTGACTACTCTAGTAGGTTTAGGTCACAGATAAATTAGTCTGAGCTTTTATTCTTGCATGTAGTTTATATTTATTCATTTATATATGAATTAAGTCTTCATTCAGTTTTGTTTCTTTATAATTACTTATATAAATTACTCAATAAAGATATGAGCAAGGCCTTAATTTTTAATATCAAAAAAAAAAAAAATTTAAATTCAACATAATTTGGCATATAGTTAATATGTATGTTAATTGTAAATTGGTGGGTATAGTTGCTAGTCATACTCTTGATAAAATTCATTCAAAGTAGATATCTTTAAAATTATTGTTAAAGGGTATTAATGATTTTTGATAGGCTTTTTTGGTTTTAGCTGCATCTTTCCAATTAGCTATTTTTTGCAGAGGTAGTAGCTTTTTTAATATTAATAGGATCTAAAAGTATTTTGCTATATATCACAAATATTGCAGCTTTAATAGTTATAGTTACTCAACTTCTATATGATCGATTTGCTGCTAAAAGCTAATAAAAAAGTTATACAAATAAATTTAATATAAAATGAATTAATTCAAAATAAATTAAAAAACAAATATTAATAATTGTCATAGCTGATACTAAAATTGGCTGATGCTAAAAATTTAACTTATTTTATTATAAAATTTTTGGGCTTTTTCATTAAGTTTTTTTTTTAGTATTAGGTTAGGCTTTGAGGGTAGTGTTGTTAGTAAAAAAGTATATGTGAATTTTAGTAGGTATTATAGATTTAAATTGGGATTCTAAATTTCAGCATCAGCCAATTTCAGCATTAGCCATGACAATAATTTAAATTTAAAAAAATAATAGTAATGATAAATAGTAATAAAAACAAAAAAATAAAATTTTAAACCAAAAAGTACTTAAAAAAAAAAGATTAAAAATAATTAAATTAAAGTGAAATAAATTGATTATATTAAGAAAATAATAAAATACAAATTTAATAAAATAATGAAAGATTATAATAAACTAAAGTGCAATAATTTAAAAAATACAAAATAATTCAAATTAATTAAAACATTTACAGGACTTATGAAATGTTCTTGATAATAAGAATTCCAATCTCTATTAACCTTTGCCTCATAGAATTCAGCTTTATTTTCTAGGAGGTACTTCTCTGTAGCTTCTTTTAACTTATTTTTTGTTGAATAAATATTATAACTAATAAGTGAATTGGCTATAGCCAAACAAATTTGCTATAATTAAATAAAATATAGTTAGCTTAAATTAAAAATATAAACATTAATATATAAAAATAATAATTATTTTGATAAATGTTGCTTTATCTTTTAATTTAAGATCTTCCGAAATACAACTATTCAAAGCCAAATTTTTTTGATCCATATATTCAACTTTCTCAGATAGCTTACTGATTATATCCCTAATAGAGACCAATGTAATTTGTTCTTAAATTATTTTAAATAGTAAATTAAATTAAAAATACTATAACTAGTAAATTAATAAGATAAACAAAATTATTTTTTTAATTTTAACCATCAGAAGGTCTTGGAGAGATGTGCTAATTGTTTCAACCAGGAGTGCACTGGCCTGCTCAGTATGTAACTGAAGAACACTCTTCCTACCACCAGTCATTTTTAAAAAAGCAGTATGCCTTTTAGCGGCAAGTTTTGAAAATTTTTCCGATTTTGAAGTAAATATTTGATTATAAATAAATTAAAGAATATAAAATATAAAAAAAAAAAAAAAATGAATAAATAAAAAAATGAAAAAAATCAATAAAAGTAAAAAAAGATAGATTTCAAAACTTTGGGTCAGAATGCACCAGAAACTATTCAGTTGGCCCGGAATTGATCGATTTTGCCCAAGATCACTATGGATTTTACTAATAAAACCATAGTTGTTTATTAAGTAAAAATGCCTAGCTAATGATTTTACTATAGCTCTTGCTAACCCGACCTTAACCCCGGCCAGTGTTGTACATTTTCATTGTCCAAAGATTATTGAGTGCAGATCTTTTGATAACTGTCTAATCAAATTCAATGAAAATTTTTTTATATACCGTATGTTACCGAATAGAAGCCACCCCCGAATAAAAGCTACCCCTCGATTTTTGATCCAAAAATCTGAAAGAAGGTTATTATGTTTTAATAGTAAAATTAAACCCGAATAGAAGCTACCTCCACGATTTGGCCCGAGAAAATCGAAAATTTTTTGGTAGCTTCTATTCGGTAATATACAGTATTTGTAGAATTAAAATAAAAAATTTTTATTGAATTTGGACAGGTGGTTATTGAGAAAACTTCACTCAAAAATCTTTGGACAATGAACACTGTTTCCGGCCATTCCGACCCGGAAATTTAGGGATCTCCTGTAAAAAATGACGAAAATAGGTTATTTAGTAAAAAAATAAGTTAATTATGTAATAACGTTAAAATTTTTAGTTTATCTATGTCTAACTTTTTCGGAACATAAACTGCATGTATATATTTGTCAAAATGCACTTTTCAAACTTTTTACTAAATGAAAAATTAGATTAACTTCGCGTAAAAAAATTTTTCTTTAATAAAAATTTTTTTACACGAAGTTAATCTAATTTTTCACTTAGTAAAAAGTTTGAAAAGGCGGATTTTGGCAATACATATATGCAAATTTATGTTCTGAACAAGTTTGCTTAGAAGACAAAGATTGGTTGTCTTAGTAAATGAAAAAGTTATACATAGATAAACTAAAATTTTACATAGCAACTTATTTTTTCTTTACATTTTCGTCTTCTAAGTAAATTTGTTCGGCGTAAAATTTTACACGTAATCACATCTTCAAAATTAGGAAAGGAATTTTAAAAAAGTGTTCTAAATAACCTTAATCTACTATTTTCGATATTCTAAAATTCGATATTAAGTTGAGAATAATGCAGTAATGTAGAGTTTATAGTAAATTTATATGGTTTTTTTATATAATTTTTCAACAGGTGTGATGAGAGTGACCAATTAAAACGAAGATCAGATTTTTGGCCAATCAAATGTTTTTAAATCATGGTCCATGATGTTTTGAATATAACTGTACCATTTCCTAAGTTATATGTCAAAATTAATTTCTAGAATTAATGCAATGCCGCATAGCCAGAAATTGCGATTTTGATTCGGACGAGACAAAAATTTGAGTAAAGCTCCGAGATTTTCCGAAGGTAAAGTAAGAAGCAGAGATTTGGCCTTGTTCTACAAACCTCAAAATCTGTATCTTAGTTCAGAAGTTTGATAGTTCTTGTCTTTTAAATTTTTTTTAATATATTATTTAAAAACTAAATTATCATCAATATTTTTGGTAGCTTAGTTAGTACCCTACTTTCTGAGATAATTCCGTGCTTTTTTTGACACATTTGGTGAATTCTGCAGTATTCCGTGAAATGGAAAAAATCATCGTCTCCGCTGATACAAAGAAGCAGAACGCTTCTTTTTATCAGCAATTATCTATTCGCATTGAGCAACCTGTAGGTAGTATGTCAATTTCACCGTCCAGCCGTGATATAGTATTAGCGGCGTATGTATCTTGTTTGTATTTTGAATGTTAGCAGAACACAACTGAAATTGTCGCATCAAATTCAATACTGAATGCTATATAATTTACAGGCGTAAAGGTCTTTTCATTATTGATCTCGAGAACCCGTATGAACCGCCTCGTGAGCTTCATCATCTGACTAAATGGGAGGTTGCAGATGTACAATGGAATCCGCATCGTGATAAATGGGTTGCTTCTACAGTATGTTCGTTTTCAATACCTCTTAGTTTTACGCAATTCAGAACTTATTCCAGTTTAAATCATAGTCGAACCAAAAAGGACTGATATGGAACTTGAACCTCCCATCTTCTAATGCCGTTGAACATATACTTCATGGACATTGTCGAGCCATCAGTGATATAAATTGGCATCCTTTTAACCCGGATGAAGTCGCAACTTGTTCTGTGGACACGTATGTTCACTTATGGGATTTAAGAACTCCGGAAACACCGGTAAGGTCTTTTTGTGCGTGGAATGGTTTGTATCAGCTTTTTTTACCCTTGAAAATATTTGGTATTCAACTAACCACATACATATCATAGCTGGCGCGACTCAAGTTAAATATAATAGAAAGAACGAATATTTATTAGCCTCAGCCCACGATGGGAATATAATGATCTGGGATATTCGGGTAAATATTGGAAGTAAATTCCTGATTATGTAAATATTATTAGATAAACTTTTAATATTAAAATAATAATGGGTATATTGGTTGAATTGAAGAAAGGCTCAGATTTTGTTACTAAAATCACAGCACATGACACAAAAATCTATGGAATTGACTGGAGCAGAAATAATGATAAAAATATTATTTCTTGTAGTTTAGACAAGTTAGTTAAGGTTCGTATCATATCAATTTTTCTATCTAGGCTATTAGAAGGCTTATTTGTTATCGTAAAATATAGATTTGGAACATTTATGAGCCAGATAATTGCATAGGATTCATTCGAACTAACTCTCCTGTATGGCGTGCAAGACATACGGTACGTCAGGAATATTATTTCTTTATTCAAAAATGTGAACCATCATAGTATGATTAATTACTATTTAATTTTAGCCAGTTGGTCATGGTATCCTGACAATGCCTCAACGTTCAGAGACAACGCTGTATCTTTGGAATATGGAACAAACCACCAGCCCTGTGGAAACGTTTTCGGGACATGAAGATGTAGTCAAAGAGTTTGTATGGAGAACTAAATTTGGTAGCAATCCTGAGATTGGTAAATATAACATCATCTTATAGATAGCAATAAAATACAAATTGTTTACGCTTAACTGTTTATATCGATTGAACGAAACAGATGATAGAGAATTTCAACTAATTACATGGTCTAAAGATCGACACTTGCGGCTGTGGCCAATAAGTGATAAGCAACTAAAGGTATATTAATATTATTGAAAAAGACAAACAATAATGTGACATTGATTATCTGGAATTTAATAGTTAATAGGTCATGAACGGGGGTTGCCATCCGAAAAATTACCATTGGCAGAGAATTCTAAGTTTACATTTCGGGATCCACCGTCTGGTAGCCGTTTGGCATCCTCAGCATTTACAGCGTCTACTACCACTTCCAAGTTGCGAGTTTTCCCTGGAAATTATATTAGTACGACTGCAAGGCTGCGTCCTTCTGGTGCTTCTACTGGTGGTAGTAATATAAAAGGGTATATGGGTGCTGCTGCTGGAATACATCGAGCTGAGCGTCGTACCGTTTCTCCACTTCTGTGGATGCAAAATGTAAGGATGGTCAAATCCAGCGGAGAAGGTCATACTGATAAGGGTGTCCCGGCCAATATGCACGAAGAAATGGTTGAAATTTCACGAAAATTCCCAAACGTAAAGGTTACTAAGGTATTTATATCAGCTAATATAATGCGTGAGCCATTTATTTATTATACCTTTTATTACAAGTAGTTGAACGCAGGAAATTACAATATAAGTTTAAAAGGTCCATGGTCTGAGAGCGGCTTTGCGTTCATTAAGCTAAAAATAGAGTTTCCTCCGCAATACCCTGATAAAGCTGCACCAATTTTTGAAATTCACAAAACTGGCATGATATCTATACTGAATCGAACGCATATGTCACAGATCTTAAAGCGCATTGCTATTAATCATGTATCTGAAAAGAGACCTTGTATGGAAACCTGTATACGTTACTTACTTGGTGAGCAAGTTCAGTACGGTGATGGACAAGATCGATATGGAAGAGAAGATTCTGATGAAGAAAATTTTATAAATTTTAATAGAAGGACGTCATATGATAAAACCCTAACACTATTGCTTGGGGATAAGGATGATCATAACATTCCTTTTCCAGTAATATGCGGCGCACGGTTTTCAATAAATGGTTGGTTTTAACTTTTTTAATCAACGTTTTTTTTCTTTTTAAAATTGCACTTAAATTAAAATAATTTATTTATAGGACAATTAGTATGTTTCTTCTCGAATCTCCGATCCCCGGATGTTAGTCATTCAATTACACAAGTCGAATCTAATAATGCAGCAGGATCTAATCGAAACATACATACTAGCAGTTACACCTACACACACCCTCGATCTTATGATTCATGGGAGCAGTACAAAATGATTGCACGACTCCCGAGGCCTGTAACGCATTATGTTGATGATGATGGTGTTCCGTTTTATGAAGGTGATGAGGATTACATACATTCATATTACTATAAGTCAAAGGTAAAATTCGGAATTCAAGATATATTTATAGGGAGCTGGTATTCATATCCCACATTTGGCATTCATATCCCAGTAAAATAAAAATTTTTAAACCTTAAACTCAAGATATCTCGATTTTTACCTAAACCAAATTTGATGATGAATTTTTTATTTGAATTCTATGGATACATAATATTCGAAGAAAAATGTTTCATCGAATTTGATCAGGTGATTGTTGATATATCTTCAATCAAAGTTGAGAAAAATCAAAACGACTATCATAAAGCTCTCAACAGCCACCTAATCAACTTTTTTATTTGAATCTATGAATCCATAGATTCAAATAAAAAATTTTCATCGAATTTGGTCAGGTGGTTGTCGAGACATCTTCGCTCAAAGTTGGAAAAAAATCAAAACGCCTATCAAAATAAAAGCTGCAACAGATTTTTTTTTCCTTAAAAACTTTGAGTGAAAATATCTCAACAACCATCTGACCAAATTCTATAAAACTTTCTTATTTGAATCCTAAGAATCCATAGAATTCAACAAAAAAATTTTATCGAATTTGATCAGGTGGATTGGAGAAAAATCAAAACGCATATCAAAATAGAAGCAGTGCCAAATTTTTTTAGAAATTTGAAGATCTTGACAACCATTTGACCAAATTCTATGAAAGTTTTTTTTATTTAAATCCTATGAATCCATAGAATTCAATAAAAAATTTTTTATCGTATTTGATCAGGTGATTGTCGAGATATCTTCACTCAAAGTTAGAGAAAATCAAACGCCTATCATAATAAAAGCTATACCAATTTTTTTTTAAACTTTGAAGATGTCTTGAAACCACCCGACCAAATTTAATGAAACTTTTTTATTTGAATTCTATGGATTCATAGACTTTAAATAAAAAAAAAAAAAAAAAAAACATCGAATTTAGTTAGATGGTTGTCGAAATATCTTCAAAGTTTTAAAAAAATTTGGCACAGCTTTATTTAATAGGAGTTTTGATTTTTCTCTAACTTTGAATGAAGACCACCTGATCAAATTCGACGAAATTTTTATTCTTTGAATTTTATGAATTCATAGAATTCTAATAAAAAATTTTCATCAAAATTGGTTAGATAAATATTGAGATATCTAGAGTTAAAAATTTTTATTTTTTTACTGGGTGTATGAATTCTAATGTGAGAGGTACAAATACCAGCCTCTTTTTATATTTGTAAATAAACTTATCTGTTAACTTTATCATTTTATTGAAATTAGAGTGAATTGCATGATGCGTTAGATTCTTCTGACCACGTCGCATTGTTCAAGTCAAATAAATTGGATAGGAAATGCCCTGAGATCCTTATATTTAATTTATCAGAACTGATGCCTGTTAGCCAGAAATTGGCAAAAAGCTACATGTATTTATACTTTATTTTTATTTTGATTTTCATTTAATTCTGTTTTAATTTTCAAATGGCTATAGTCTCAATGGAAATGATCCAGCTGAAATTTGTAAAAAGAACGCACAGGTTGCTGCAGACAACAATCGACCAGATTTAGAACAAGCTTGGCATCTGGCTTCTTTAATTTTAACTCAAATTATTCACAATAAACGTATGTCATCCGAACGTTTATTATTACCATTAGGAATGCAATCAAAATACGTAAGCAAAAGAAGGCTTAGTAATAATAGTTATGAGGATGGATTTCCAAGCTTATTTGGAAGAGTGAATTGGGGATTCCATCCATTGGGAAGAAATATTGTGCAGAATCTGTATGTGTATTATAAAGTCAAGTGATCTGTATTTCATTATACCTCATTATAACTGAATGTCTCTTTATACTTACAGGTTTAATCACTTTGCTGAGTTAGGAGACATCCAAATGTTTGCTATGTTAACTTGTGTATTTCGGGAACCGTTTCCTCCACAAAAGAAGTTTGCTTGGTCGCATGAACTTCATTCCAGAGTATGAATCAAAAAATCATTCTATGGAAATTACCTCAAACTAAATTGGTCATAACATTAGTTTTTTTTAAAAAAAAACCAGATTATTCCAGATCCGTTAAACTCTACGATGTCACACAATACGAATTATTTTAATAATTATCCTCGATATAATGAAAATTATTCAATACCAAATTTTGTTCGTAATCATTACCAATATGGTTACCAAACAATATCTACAACATTTGGGCAAATATTTAGCGAATCTAATTCTTCCAAGGGTTCATTGGGCGTAATTAACAATCCGATTGATTCAAGCAGTAATATAACTATATCCGCAACACCGCCCACGCCATCGACCCTTACTTATGGAAATACTGATGATTCTGGTGGTCCGATAATGATACCTTCGTCTAGTCAATCTTTACATCATCAGAGGAGATCTACATTCGGTGGAACGTCAAAAGAATCAAATCATTTTTCTTCAAGTTTTAGTACTACTGCATCTTCACCACGATTGCTAAGAAAAGGTAGTCCTGCTGCTAATAGTTACCGGTTGGATAATTTTGGATTTAGTTCGAATGGATATTATGGGGATAGATTTATGGATGTTGAAAAAAAAATAGAAAAAAAGAGTTCCGATGTGAACTTAATCATGATGAATTGCGGTGAATTCGATGATGAAAGAAAGTAAATAATTTACATTGTAACTTATCTCAATTGATATCTCTCTTTGATGAATTTATCAATTGAATTTTTTACTTTAAATAGTCCACAAACTGTTACATTGTTGGATGATGATAGGTCAACGACAGCATTGCATGATCAATATCGTTTAGCATATGCTGAAATATTATATCATTGGGGTCTTTATGAAGCACGTGCTGAGCTTTTGAAGTTTATGAGTTTCGTCAAAACTACAGTGGGAAGCCCTCTTGGTGAGCAACAGCAGCCTTTAGGTGATTTTTATATAAATAATATTAATATTCTAGCGTCAACATGTTTCAAAAAAATTTATAATATCTTATCTGAATAGAGATTGGAATACACTGCCATCAATGTGGGGCTGAAATAAAAGCAGGTTCAGAGTGTGGAAACTGTCAACGCAAAAGAATTGGCATAAAATGCTCGGTTTGTCATCGATTTGTCAAAGGTATATATATAGCTATATTTTATAACTTTTTGAAATTAAACAGGGTTTAAGGTCTAATAAATTTATGTTTATCACAAAATTCAGGATTAACAAATTTTTGTATTATGTGCAAACATGGAGGGCATACATCTCATTTACGTGAATGGTTTGAGTCAGAAAGTGATGAATGTCCTACGGGATGTGGATGCCGTTGTATGTCGGAAAACGGAGGGTTCAAGTGTTCTAATTAAATTGTATATATATTATTTTCAAGAAACAAAAGATATTAAAATTTGAATTAATTTGTATTTTTAGAATTATAAGTGCATTATGAACAAATTAAAATATTTTTTTAATCACATTATTATGCTATTTGTATATTTTTAAATTCAAATAAAAAATATGTAAACTTAGGGCCAAATTAAGCAACTGTACACCTAAACTGTTTTGCCTCTAATGTAAATAGACGAAATTTTTTTAGCCAGTATGTTGCAAATAAACATTTAAAAAAAATTTATATATTGTAGCCAGATTCCACTCTATTATAAAACTAATGAAATTTGCCCCAATTCTTACTATAAAAACAGTGCCGATTATAAATGAACTATCAATTAAGTACTAATGGTGGCTTTTATTTTGATATATTATAGCAATTGCAAATCATAGTTTTCATTTGCTATGTGATATTCTTCTGTCGCAGTCTTTAATTCTTGCTTCGTAGGATATATACTATACTGTATTAAAGCTTTGGCCGTGGCTTTTAAAATTATTTATTATTAACTGTCGCGGATGATCGTGATGCTGAAATTCACGTGATGATCTCCGCCATTATAGTAAAAAAAATAAAAACTAGATTCAATGCAAATGAATAGCGATAGAGCGTCTTCAAAGTATAAATCGCTGTTATAAACTTGCAAATCATGTAAACAAACGTTTTAAAACTTTGAAGAACTATTTGCGGACGATCTATTGGGTCGTTTTTTGACGATTTACTACCAATAGAATCGTCTCAATCTGAAGAACAACTTTTGTTAGTGCACGAAAGTAGGTTTACTTAACACTAAATCTAATTTTTATTTTTTACTATATAATAGCGGAGAACATCATGTGACACGTGAATTTCAGCATAAACATTAATAACGTATATAAAAATAATAATTACTGTAATAAAATTTTGTTTTATTAGCTAGGTCGAAACTTTCCGACATTCTACTATCCATATCGGAAAGTTTTCTTTCAATTCAGTTTACTTTTTCGGATAGCTCATTTAGCTTATCCAAAACGTAATATATTGGCGTGGTTTGTGAAATATCAAATAAACTATAAAGGTATCAATAGGTTACCAAATGTGGAATTATTTAGATGTCAAAATATTTTAGACTGCAAAGTTTACTTTAAGATGCCGAATTTGCCATTGCGAATTTATGAAATACCCTAAAATTTGAAAAATTTGACTATTAATATGTAAATATAGATTTTGGCTGAGATAATCAATATTTCCCGGATAGGATGCGTCGTTATAATAAATTTATGTGTCTAACAAAGGTGGAGAAGATGGGTTAGACGCGTTATCAGTCTATATCAGAGGGTCAAAAAAATTTTTCGGTGTTTGGTATTGATTTATTAATATGTAATTTGGTAATTTTGGGACCAAATTTTAGCTAAAATTTCATAAATTCGCCAATTTTTCGATTTTTGCAGAGACGAAACCTTTTTCGCGTGATGACGAAAGACTAAACCTAAACTTCCAAAAAGACGAAACCCTAGTGCTCTCGCTAAAAAAAAAAAAGAAGTTATTTCATTGAATTAACATTCACAATTTATTCAGAGATCTGTGTCCGAAATTACATGTATGCCAGCAAAAATAATCCAGTTCATTCATTTTTCTGGACAACGCTAGGGTTGTTATAGACTGGTTGAAATACCTTGTCAAAAAGCATAGTACTCATGGAATGACACAAATAAGATCACAAAGTAAACACCAAGCGATTTCTCACTAGAATTGATATGTAGTGTACTAGTATAATACAATATAGAATACTGTTTTTGTTTATTTTTTTATACACAACCTTCAATGAGTTTCAACATTATTTATATATTCGTCTTTTATTAGTTTTGTCATCTTTTACAGTTTCGTCAGTTTCGTCACCTTTCGTCAGTTTCGCCATTTCGTCATTTAAGATTTTAATCGACAAAAGACGAACCAAGGTTACGCGTTTCGTCAGCGCGAAACCTCGAAGTTTCGCCTAAAAATTATATTAAGTAACATTAACCAACCCATTCTATAACAAAATTATCAGCTGGGTATTTTTTTACTTAATTGCTTCTTTGGCGTTTGTTTTAATATCTTTAATAAATGATTCAACAGTTAATTAGAGAATAATTAAATTATTTTTTCACTGTTTTCCAGGTAAATTTTCCTGGAATTTTGAAAAGTATTTATAATTTTTAAAAATATTAGATATGAGGTTTTTTATATATATAATATTTTATTGAAGAATTTCACAAAAGGTAAGATGCTTCTAAACATGAAATTTCTATATAGTGTTTCAAGACAATATCTTACAGCAAGCTAATGCGGCTGCATTTTATGTTACTCATGTAATAATGATTGTGTATATAGTACTCTTCACATATTTATAACTAAATAGGCTAATTACAGAATTTCTCAGGCTTTAAAGGAAGAACTCCAATTGAAGTGTCTGTAATTTCAAAACATTGACTTACATTCACTTTCAAAAATCTCAAGAACTTTGTATTCGATTATATCCTGGAAGCCTGATTTAAGAAAGGGCGTTCTTTATTAATGTTGTAACTTAGGTAGAAATTTAAACATTTAAAAACTCATTATATGCTGCATAGCAAAACAATATCCTTTTGGTCAAATGCCTTTTAGTGATATATCTAGATGCATTTTTTCAGCCTCACGAATACCAATAACTTTAATAAATTTCGAATTCTTGATATTTAATCATTCCAGTAACTATAAGTTCATTTACATTATAGGTAGTATGAAGATATACTGCATCGAGATAGTTGGTGAAATAAAGATTTTCTTCCTTTATTAATTAAATAATTAGCAGCTTATCTTGCAATAAGGTTGAGAAGTAAAATACAATTGCTTTAAATATGATGCGAGTAGTCTAGTTGCATCTATTAAAACTGCAAAAATTTTTAAAATCTGTATCGGTATCTGATTAAAAATCATTCCACTAATATCTAACATAGGTTCCCACCCACCCTAATAAAGTTGACACGTTACATATAAATTGCTTAACTCTTTACACTAGGGTGTATAACTTACTGTAAGTTACCATGTAAGGTAAGTTATGTATAATAATAATAAAAATTTCATCCTTTAATAACCTTAATGCTTGCTAAATTTATTCTGGCCGGCATTAATATCAAAGCCGACCTGCTTTACTATGATATGTTTTGTAACTTACATAGGATCATGTAACTTACGATGTAAGTTACAATGTAAGTTACATTGATAGTATAGTGGCGCATAATTATTACACCAGGCTTTATAAAAGTTTTGCCTACATTGCTAGATATTCATCATGATTAGAGTTGTAATAACTTACCTGACAATGTAACTTACATTGTAACACTCTATGTAAGTATCATAGTAAAGCAGGCCAGCTTTGATATTAATGCCGGCCAGAATAAATTTAGCTTAAGGTTATTAAAGGATGAAATTTTTATACATAACTTACCTTACACGGTAACTTACATAACTTTAAAATGTAACTTAAATTTTAAAAATAACTTATAGTAAGTTATACAACCCTAATCATGGTGTTCGGAACATATATTTTCATATATTTTATGTACCAGAACTATGAAAATATGGCCGACGTTATTCACATGATCAAAAATTATAAGTAATTTTGTAGGTTTGATTTCAGAAACTACACCTTAATAAAACTCCGCATTTAAATTTTGATCTGATGCAAATTTTAATCTGATGCGCGACATATATTTTTTAGTTTTTGATAAGATCCATCAAACATTTGTTACCACTAAGTTTTCTAATTAGCTCTGATCTACAAATGTTCTATCTATCTACTAAATTTATATATTAAATTTAAGAAACCGAATTCTTTTATCAAGATTATTTGGAATTCCGTTACAATTAGCATCCATAAATGCACGTTGACAAGGAAGAACTGGTCAGAGGTTACATGCCACGTGATACAACCCCTGCCCTACAGACCACGGGACGAAAGGCCTGGGTCTGAATCAAAGAACGAATCATCAGTTAAATTGCATGAATCAACACGCAGCCCGAGATACGTAATAATTCATGTCTTTTAATTTAATCTATTTCCGCACCTTTGGCTACACGACCAGTCGTGCCGATGCTTTTTGAATTTGAAATTGGCGTACGTGCTGCCAAGGCAAAACCTGCAAGCAAATATTAATCCTGGAAAAATATTACGTATTAAATCATTGTATACAAATTGTATACAATGATTTAATACATAATATCACAATTTTCCCAGGATTAAACTCGCCTTATTGATACCTCAAATATTTGCTTACAGGTTTTGTCTTGGCAGCACCCAAACGTAGTGATCGGGCTGAGAAATGAATATTCGCTATAGCGTTATATAGTGTAATAATAAAAATTTTAAATTGTTCTAGAATTACTCTGTTATAACGAGGTATCCGCTACAATGGAGTCCGTTATAACGAGGGTGAACTGTATGTATGGTATCATTCTAATATCATCAATTATATCATTTTATTTTCAAAGATATTGGAGGTTATTTTTGTCGATTCGCGTACTTTTATTTTCGTATATTCGCTTCTTTCTTCATATAGTATTATTCAAATTCCAAGAACTATTTTATGCTTTTTAAATTATTGTGGAAATTACGAAATTCATGTAGTCTATATATAAGTTAAGTCGCTATGATGTATGTATGTCATGTGCTCAAGGGATAGTAAAGGTCCTTTAATATTGGTTTTACTAGTGCTCGCCTTATGATATTATGCTATACTTTTTCATTCCAAACTATCCACCTGAATTCTTTTGCTAAGAATTACTGTTCCTCGAGAATCATTTAATAGGAAGGTTCACAGCTGCTTAACAATGCAAAGACTTTGTAACTTAAACTAAGAGTCATGACTATGATGATACAACTCGAGGGTCATTTTATAGAAGAAGGCTCTGCACAGCACAACAGTACAAGTGTGATTTTAAATGTCGAAACAATACAAATTTAGATGTTAGTAAGATTTA